AAATACAAATATAAACTATCGGTCATTTTTGGTTTTTTCAGAAAAAAATCCTTTTTTTAGTCATTTCTGGAGAAAATGGATGTCCCCTATGAATACGAATATGAAATTGCGCACGAATTTTCATTGCCAATCGTTTCCAATACGGTCACTATACAAAACCTCCAAGGCGGAACAAAATCGGGGTCTAACACTTAGATGAGTTCCCTTGTTAGTGCTGGGCGATTATCTGAGGAGCCGTGCATATTCGTTCCGAAGCCCTCAAATCGCCTGCATTGTTCTCCGGTAGGTTACAGTAGCAATAGACCCTTCGCGATCTGATTGGTCGCCGGATCGTGACGTCAGGTGAAGGCTGCTTGTATCCGTCCGCATCTTTCGACCTGCTCGGCATCTGAGTAAAAGAATCGTCATGTCTTGATGAGGAGGAGTTGCTCAGACAAAATACCATCCACATTTTCATCTTGTGTTGGTTACAACATAATACATAGACAGAAGTCGTAATTTGAATTCCGGGCGGCAGGACAAATGGTGACGTCACGATCCGGCAGCCGATCAGATAGTGAAGGGTGAAGGGTCTTCTCCTGAAGGCCCGCCTTTTCCCCCGACGTTAACAAGACGAGGCCTCTTACATCATTTGCTTTGCAGGTGCTTACTAGCCGTGGTTGGCGGTCCTCAGGATTGTGTCGTGCTTGAAGATCTGAAGGAGCAGGGCTTCGTCACGCGCGATCGCAAGGAGCCCTTGGACGCAGCCTCTGCTCACCTCGTTCTGAAGCAGCTCGGCAAACTGCATGGCGGCAGTATGGCACTAGAAGTAACGCGCCCCGACGAATTCAGGTACAGTACACTTTTAGGTATTTCCGCAATGTCCACACGGAAAAAAGATTTTGCTCTACTAGCAACTCATTTTGTTACTATAGACATGACGAACACATTTTCCCCGGCAGCAAATTTGGTCACGTAGTCGGAGCAAAGAGCGCATCTACTTGCACAACGAATTATTATGTTCCGACAACGGACCAGGTTTGCTCCGATAACGAAAATATCAGTTACAGTAATGAGGAGCTTCTTGCTTCTTCGACTCTCAGGCATGAGCTGAAGTAGTGAAGTTAGATTGTTGACGCCACGAATCACATTTTAGTAATTGGAGCTAAATTACTATTTGCCGACATCCGAATGAAAGAACCGTTTCGATTATTTTATATCGAAGGTTCAGGGGGATTTGGGCACATTGTTGCTAACGGATATAAATAGTGTCCATGCGCACACATTATCTGCACTCAAGTTTGGAAACAGTTCCACAGACTTTCGTTCTACTGGTGCAGTGGAACAGGGCCCAGCCTGTGAAGGTATTGCCACTGTGTCTAGACTAGTGGTTTCGAACGGGCGGGTTAGAGATGCAGCACTATTGCCCCACGCGGGAGACGGAGCGGCGGGGTCGGACGTGTTTTGTGCCGCTCCGTCGCCTTCGGGTTTGGTTGTTCAAAGTCGGCTTTACACGAAGTGCTTATTACCTACGGATCGGCGTTGTGCTCCCGAGTGTGTCTGTGAATTTTAGTGCCAATCAGTGCTGCGGTGTGGATATTATCAGTGATTTTCCTGGATTTCATGTTGGCGTCCCCTGCTTTCTGGCCGTCAAGTGGCTGCTGCGCCAAATGAGGACTTGTTCCGAAAAGGAACATCAAGATGGTCGACGCAATCAATTCAGTCATTTATGTCAACGAAGCGATTTAGTTGTTGGCATAGTGCAAATATATTGCGCTTGGCACAACGGGTTTTGGTGTTAGTTAAACGAACTAAACCGAATATTGGGTCAACTAGTGTGGAGTTCCTTCTGTTAAAACGTACTGCAATATGCTTGCAAAGAATTCTGAAGCATTGTAAGAAAGCTTGCATTGCAAACTATTTTCTTTGCATTGCTAACTCTTTTCTTCGTAAGTTGCGAAAAAAAAATATTTTTAGGGTTACGAACTAATTCTTTGCTTGCATCGTTAAAGTTTGTTATGTCTATCTTAGCAAAACAGTTTGTTGTGGTAACAATTTTTTGGTACAAGATTAAACTTGTTTTCCCCGAGCACTGTTGAGTTGGCGTCTTATGACACCAAAGTATTTGCGTTCAAAGAGAGACGCGAAGTCTCGGCATCGCTTTTCTGGAGATGATTTCTAAAATGCTGTTTTTGAACCCCAATTCTTTGAGTTCCCTTCTAATTAAACAAGGTACGCCAGGGCACGTCTCTCATGAACAGGCTTCGCGAAATCTCACGAAACACTGTTTCGCTGGGCCTGGCGCACAGATAGCTGTAGGCCTGCGACACCCGGGTCAGGCAAAAGTCTAATGCGGCCGGAGCTAAAAGCAGCGCCTCTTTTGGAGGTGGGGGCTAATAGTCGTTGACGATGACTTTCAGACTTCTCATCCTTTATCTGATTTGGCACTTTTTAAAGAAATTTTGAGTTTTTTCTATTAATTTAGTCCAAAATAACTCTAGCTCTTAGACCTTAAGGGGGCATCCTAGTGTAGCGGGCCTAAACTAAGGGTGATTTGCGTAATTAATTTTAGAGAACCCATATTTTTAAAAGCAAAACCGAGTATACCGTTTTGTAGCGCACACTTTTAACTTTAAAACGCAATGTGTATGACGTCGATACGCCTACCCAAAGCTGCGATATCCCCTGTTGAAAACGGCACTGCAGCTTTGTCGTCTTGTCATGGTGTACCTAGTTAAAGTCGAGCCGTTGGTCACACACAGTCCAACAAAGAATTTTTAGACTCTGTATGAACGTAGTTATGGCATGAACTAGGATATTTGCGATCGGATAATTTTTACTATTTTTTCGAGGAGCTTAAAGTTGATTTATCGAAAAAAAGCTAAAACTCTCATACTTTTGATTTTTTTTCGGGATGCAGGAGGTGATCGATTCCAGATATCCTAGTTCATGCCATACCTACAAGTGTTAGGATCATCCACAAAAAATCGGAACCTCAACGGCCCAACGGTGTGGCCGGAATCCGGTACACCATGAAAAGACGACAACGCTGCAGTGCCGTTTTAAACAGGGGATATCTCAACTTTGAGTAGGCGTATCGACGTCATACACATTTCCTTTTATAGTCAAAAGTATGCGCTACAAAACGGTGTACTCGGTTTTGTTCTTAAACCTATAGGTTCTCTACAATTAATTACGCAAACCACCCCTATTTTAGGCTCGCTACACTAGGATGCCCCCTTAAGAGATTAAGCAAAACGGACGAAATTTTCGCCCGAAGCAATGGACTTTGACGAGTTACCCCCTAAAAAAAATACAAAAAAGAATACAAAAGCTGCATATTTTCAGATATTTTTTGAAGGTTGATCTCAGTTGTTTTCCTGGTTGTTCTTAGAGAACCCAGAAACAATACAGTTGAGGCTTTTTATGGAAGAAAGTGACCATGAAAAGGGGGTGGCTCACTGCCTCTAGCAATAATGCCGCTAACCCGATTTTTCGATTTCAGTGTTGCTTTTAATAATGTCTCTCAAGATAAGTCTACGTACACCTCATTTGAAGGCTAACTATGTGATTTTTTGTTTTCTTAGGGCAATGAAGGACGCCGTACCCAACCCATACGCTGCCCCAGCATTCAGACATACGATGATGCCAATCGTTGAGGCCTGCCTTGAAACACCAGGTGTGTTACTTCTTTCAACATCCGCCAGGACCTCTAACCTTTCGATACAAAACAAGTATAAATCTGCGGCCTTGTCACGCAGAGTCCGAAATGGGGGGGG